AGGTTTCTGCCTCTTAAAGGGAAGTTTTATAAGGAGTACGAGAACTTCTGTTATGATTTGCTGCTAAACAAATGAAATTTAATTGAACTGAATGATCCCACGCTACTTCACCATGTCGTCCAACTTCCCCTTTTGTTATTGTTTTAATGTGAGAGACCCCCTCGTGGCAGAAATAACATATTGTACGTTTAAAGTAACTAAATCTGATAAATGTGGTGGAGTAGAAGCAGAAAGTGGCAAGAAAAGACTCAAGTTCCTCCATTTATGTACTCACCTGTCGTATTTCCTCTCCTGCTCCTCTGTACGCCTGCAGGTCGTCCAGGATGACCCGAGCCTCCGTCAGCACCTGGTTCACCTTTTCCCACACCGCCGTCTCCGACTGCGAGGGCTGAGCATCTGCAGGCAAAGGTCAAAGGTCAAACACACAACAGTCTCTGCTGTATCTCTCTGGTTAACGTGTGTGTGTGTGTGTTTAATGTGTATCTTACTCTCGAAGTCCAAGAAGAAGTTTCCACCATTGTTGTCAATGTCTCTCGTTAACACCTTGATCAGGTTCCCCATGCTGCCAACACACAGTTTGAACTGTTTCAATAACTGATCAATGGAAAGCCACACAGAAATGATTTATTGACCCAAATCCAGTTTGAAAAACATGCTGTTTTTTATTTTTACAGTACAAAGGACTGATAGAGAGCGTCACCCGAAGCTCAATATCAGTAAAAACCCACTAAGCTGGTGGACTACAGATCTTCAGATTAGGATGTTGCTGCAAAGAACAACTACTAATGCTGAACTGGTTTGCAACCCAATATATATAATATATAAGAATGTTTGACATAAAGCCACACTGCATCAGTGTGTAACATTTCATACAATTCTACCGTCAACAGACAGATACAGGGCATAGGTCACTGCTATAGATACAGGGCAGAGGTCTGTGAAGAAAAGTGTGTTTTGCAGAACATTTTGATGTCACAGTGAAGTCGACCTTTGACCTCGACTTTTAAAGGTGCAGTGTGTAGGATTTAGTGCCATCAGACTGCAACTCCCTCACTTCACCCTCCCCGTCCAAGTGTGTAGGAGAAACAGACTACAGCGGTCGCAAAACACACAAAAACGTGAATAGCCCAATCTACAGACAGTGTTTGGTTTGGAAACATGGCGGCCCAACATGGCGACCATGGCGGTCTGTAGATAAAAACTGTTCATTCTAAGGGAACAAGTATTCTTATTTTCAGGTGATATACAATAATAAAAACATATTTATGATTATTATATTCCATTTCTGACAATAGATCCTCCTCAGTGTTACACACTAGACCTTTAAACACTTATTTATTTTAGAATATGCATCTATAACACGTGCTATCACTCTACATATATATATATATATATTTGTTTTACTATCACTAATTAAATATTTAGTAACAAAATTTAAGTTTTAGATTTAAGTGTCTAAAACTTTCTCAAATTCCATTAAAACAGCAACACACGCTTTAAAAACTGAAGTGGAGCTACACTGATACAGTAAGTAAGGAAACTGATTCATAACTTTTTGTATAGTTGTATTTTGCATATTGTCACAAAATCCCACAGCGCAGCGTTTGGGAAGCACAGATCTGACTGCTGACACAAGAGTACAGGTAGATACTACAGGACCTGCAACAAACCTCACTTACACGAACTCTGTTTGTTCAAACTCACTTCAAACCCACAGAACGTTATTTAAATTCTAGTAGAGAACTCAGGAAACCAAACATGTCAGCTGAATTTTAGGGAAATGTGTCTGTAATGATGCCGCAGACACGTACAAGACTGCAGTAAAAAACATGGAGTCTGTGGTTTGAATAACAAACACGATAAACTGAATATGAACAAGCGTAAAGTTTACTTACTGTGACTGTGAGGGAGGGAAAACTGTCAATTAAAGGTTAAACTTTCGGCAAATAAACGAAAATGAAATTAAAGTCTGCCGCTCTTCAGACTGACGCAGCTTTGTTGAGTTTGTCGAGCTGCAAACTGAACTGGAAGCAGCGTCTTCTCGTTAAAAAAAAAAAACAGTGAAAAGAGGAAGTGATGAAGTCTCTGAAAGTTTGGCCTAAATTTAAAACAGAGGAAGTAAAGCAGACTGAGCTGAGATCAGGTAAGAAACAGTGAGAACAACGACGCAACACTGCAGAGACACTGCGAGCAACAGGCTTCGTCTCTTCATTCGAACTCACTGCTACAAAACACTTATTATTTATTAACACCGTTATTAGCAGCCACAAGCACCGTTTCCCCTCAACGCCTCAATGCACTGTAAAAAAAGAAAGGTGAGAAAACTGTGTGATTTGAGCTGTAACCTGAATTATACGACTGTAGTGGAATGAAACTCATCAACGCTCAATATTCACATTCTTATCAACGCGACCTCTTATTATTATTATTTATGTATGTAATGTAATGTTATCCAGAACCTGTGAGTCCAATGCCGACACAGAGTCAGAGACAGTTGGGCCTTTACGTCAGACATTTCTATAAAAAGAGTTAACACCCTCTAATCAGAGAAGTCTTAGCTACAACACATCATAACCCTAAACACAACCCTGAACACATCATAACCCTAAACACAACCCTGAACACATCATAACCCTAAAAACAACCCTGAACACAACACAACCCTTAACACAACACAACCCTGAACACAACACAACCCTGAACTCTGAACCCTGAACACAACACAACCCTGAACACGACCCTGAACACAATAATAATTATTATTATTTTATGACTTTTCAGAGCCCAGCGGAGGGTCGGAGGTGGCGGTATCCAGTCAGACGTCACTCAGTTCTGGTGAGTTTAACAATTTTTTAAATAAATCTTTTTTCCCCCAGAACTTTAACTCAAAGATTCCAGTTCTTAAAAGTGAATTATTATTGATTATTATTACTTTATTTAAGACAGTTGCCTTGAAGTCGTTTGAAGGATCACACGAATGTAAGAAATAAAGTCGGTGTCATTATGATAATTTCTTGCACTTTATCTTTGTTTAGCACATTCGGGGGTGTCAGTGGTGTCAGTTTCTTCAGCTCAAACTCAGCTGCAGGTCCGACTTCTCATTTTGTAATTTGTGCCTGAAGACAGCGACAAAACTGCACAAATACGTGCATAAAATATGATTATAGAACAGATAAAACAGTAATAAATACAATGATAATGCAGTTTATTCACACGTAAAGCGACTTTATCACAACTGGTTTTTGTGCCTTTTTCATTTGAAGTTTATTTTTGTCTGTAAAGTGCTGAAAATAGGAATAATTCACAGTTTTAAACATTTATAATGTTATAATGTAACATGTTTATGGTTTACTCTACGCACATAAATGAGACAGAATGTGAAAGCCCCATGTTAGTCTCACTTCTGGAATTTGTGGCTGTTTTAATGAGGCAGAAGCCTTTTTAAAGATTTTAATGTGGAAATTATACTTTCTTTTGCGGAACAGACACAACGAATTCTTCCAAGCAGACTATTTTTTATTAATGTCTCTTTAAGGTTCTGCTTACGACTGAAACTGTAAAGTGAACTTTCATTAATACTGACATGTGAAGTTTAATGAAATGTTGTTTGCACTGAAACAGAAGAATTGTTTAATTGAGAAAGTTTAAATTAACAATAATTTTCACTCCTTTGTCAGGTCATCAATTCATTGTTCTGTCTACAAAATGTAGAAAAAACCCAAAGTGACCTCTTCAGATTGCTCGAAAACTCACATATATTCAATTTACTATCAAAATATTGAGAAAATGTTGCCTTAAATATGACTGAAATTATCAATCTGTTAACCAAATAGTTGCTAATGAATTTTCAATCAGTAATTGATTGATTGACTAGTTGTTGAAATGTGTTTTAGTATTTTAGTGTTTTTAGCTGCTCCAGATGTTACTTTTCTATATGTGTACATATTTTTAATATAAACTATATACACTCTGACAGGAAGCTACAACCAGGCAGCTTACAGAAGCTTTAATTTTAGCGTGAATGTGCTTCTAGTGACTATAAAAACTCTCTGATCTTTAATAACTTGTTGAAAATGTTTCTGTGAGTTAAAAAACTGAGAAAATAAAAGAAAGTTGTCGAGCTGAAGCTAGAGCAGAATTTGCCGGACTCGGTTCCGAATATGACTCAGATTTTAAACAAGATGGTTCTGCGACTGACGTGAGAGAGTCACAAGTAGAGAGAGCGCCCCCTGCTGTTCACTCTGCAAACTGTAGCTGCTACACTGGTTTATTATTACAGAATATTATATTATTCTGTTATTAGTGTCCAATAAACCTACAATATCCTCAATATACTCAAATCAGGAACAATTAGTACAGTTTTGAGTACTTAAGTAAATGTACTTAGTTACTTTCCAGCACTCTTTGTTGTTGTTTTGTCGATTCTTCTCACTGTCTCTGATTCAGTCACACAGCAGTGGGAGAGTAAACGTATAAAAACACAGGGTGAAAATACTATATATTAATATATATTTAATAATATATTACAAAGTAAAAGTACAGGAGTGTAATCAGATAAAAGTACTTAAAGTACTCATAATGCAGAATGGTTTATTATTTATTATCAATACTGCACCACAGCATATAAAGTCTATATTTAATGTAATAAAGTAACTTTAAGTGTCAAATAAAATACTATATTTCTATATTAATGTAGTGGAGTAACAATACAGAGTAATTGATCACTTATCGATAGCTGATCTGAGGTATTGATCAGATGAGTAAACTCTGCAGGAGCTCTGAGGGGGATTTGGTTCTGTCCTCACATACCTTCAGGGACCCTCCAGGATCTGATCTGAGACCAGAATAAACCCTACAGGATCTGATCTGAGACCTGAATAAAC